ACTAAACTTGTATTGCTCCCCTTTCAAACCTGGCCTCTCATCTGAGACCCTCTGCAGCGAGTGCACAGGAAGCCACTTGGACGGCACTGAGCCTGTAAAAGCCCCCTCATCCTGCCCCACCGCCAGGAGAAACAGCATCTATCTAACTCTTTCTCAGGCCGATCAAATCATCTGATTATGGTTACTTTGGCCGCCCCTGCATATGGCAATGGAAGCCCCTTAGATTCCCTTCATCGAATCAAATATTGACATAGCGCTGATGCTGAGCAGATGTGTGATATAAGGAGGACATGGTGTGCAGACCACCTCCTATGCAACCACACAAATGCACTCACAGCAGGAGGTCCCTCCCCAAAAACCTGCAGATTAAACAGAATAATCAGCATGAGGGCTCTTCAGCTCCCCGAGCCCCAGATTCTCCTCGTGACCCCAGATGTATTTAAAAACTAGAGGCCTTTTGAGTCCCCCAAATCTCTCCTCCCACACACAGACTGTTGTTTCTGAATTATTACTGAACAGGCTACAGAACAGCTACTGTACTACTACTTAAAAGGACAATAACATTTACTTTTTCATACCATTTCAAAGAAAGTCAGTGTGCTTACTAAGACAAAATGTGCTTCTTGTTAAGGAATAGTCTTTGATGTTTTCACTGTACACTTTTTGTTGCTCCCCGTACCTAATTCATTTGGCACATTGATGATTCAGCGTACACTCAGCTTCTATGTTTTCTGTTTTAATGGATTTCTGTAGGGTATGTCTGTACTTTATCTTGTTCTTTCTCTCGACGTGGAGCTGAAATGACTTGACAGATAACTGATTATTTTTCAGTGATTTGAATAAACAGAACACCAACAAAAATGGTCCTTATTTTGATAATCAATTAACCATTTAATACTTTTTTGAAGCAAAATAAAAAATGCCAAACATTCTCCAGTTCCTGCTTTTCAGTTTGGATTTGCTGCAATTCTGTATCGTATAATTTTATAATGACAATCATCAGAATACATTGCCTTGAGCTTTCGGCAATTTGCCACAAATCTAACTTGCACCAAATAATCTCTTGCCTTGTAAAAAATAAATGCTATCTTTGCTTTATAAGTCTTTGAAGTTCTTGTCCAGGTCATTAAATGCAACAAAAACAGACATATCAAATACACAACAATATAACACTGTTTTTAATCCTATCCTTACACAATGAACCAAGTGATTCAGAAAACAATGTTAATGGGATATTGAATGATGTTGTTTTTTATATGTAGCCCTAAAATGTCAGCTTTACTTACATGCTTTTTGCACGTGCTCATATAGTCTCATGTGTGCATGACCCTTCACCGTCTGTAACGTGACCTCTTTAACATCCTCACATCGGCCTCACAGCCAAAGTGCCTCAGCAGACAGCCACTCAGACTATCTGCTGCTTCACATACCGTCACATCATTTCAACACTCAGGCAAAGTAGGTTAAAGGCAGGCAGCGGCTGGTGAACCCCAACATCTGCATGCTCTGTTATACATCACACTTCCGCTCTGACGGACTCGTATCGGGCTCACTGAGCGGCGGGGAGGGCGAGCGTGTGGGATTAGCGCCAGCTGGCCTTACTGTGTGCTCATGTGTGTCTGTATGTGTGACCCAGGCTTTAAAGCAGAGCATGTCTTCAGCATTAGTTAAAGGGATTGGGGGCGGTGGGTTTTAGATTACAGTTTGGATCCAAGAGGAAGTTTCACTCGCCTTCCTGCTTCCTTCCATGCGTCCCATTGTGCCGCAGGGCCAGCAGGTTAACAGGGTTATCTTTCCTTTTTTCTTTTAAAGCTCATCCACTTTTAAAGTCCGTTAGAGTCACTAGTGTAAAGCCAGTGTATCTGGATAAGTCCTCTCTCACACTCACACAAGTCAGTGAAAACTGGGGCTGCAGCCAGGGTTAAGTGAGCGTGGGATTTCCACTCTGATCTCCATGTGTTGAAGTGCCGTGCATCTGATATAAATACAGCCCTTGAAACATATGCATTGAAATTAGTTTTTAACAAATGGCTTCAACATGAATTGATATGTAACTAAAAATAAACAAGAGAAAGTAATCAAAGTGACGGTTTGGTACAGACGGGTGTGGGTTTGTGCACACGGCATTAGTCTAAATGCCACCAAAGCCTCTGGTTTCAGTGGGGGCCCGGGGACAGTTGTTAGTTTTGGGTGTGAAGAGCAGCAGGGGATTTATTCCTGAAAGTAGATTTTGAGGGATTTTGTTTTTTTATGAGGGGGTAAATTACCAGAGCCGCTTGTTCTGTGGTGCACATGTTGGAGTTTAAACCCTTTGGACCCTCTCAACCCACCGCTTGATAACGTGGATTTCTGAGCTTCATATTTATTTTAGAAGTCACAGAGGTTCAAATGGGCTTGACGTCTATATTTTTGCACGCACATATTCAATTAAGCTCCTCATCAGCTACAGCTACCCCCACTACAGATGATCTGACCCTGACTAGGTTTACTACGAAGCAATGACTCATACCATAAATGATTTTATTGGATTACAACTCAAGCGTGGCTGTGTTTGCTTTGAGGTAACAACCAGCCCCACGACGCCCTTGTTGCTTTCTAAAGACACTAAACTCATTTCCTAAATGAGTCGTAGAAGGTCAAAGGGGGGGGGGGTGTGTTAATAATGGAATTGATGGACCACCTCTGTAGAAACCCCCCACCACTAAACAAGATTATCTTCTGGAGCAGAGACCTTAGCACTGGGTTCACTGTTATCAATTGTGTGGTTTGAAAGACATATATTACAGTAATACAGTCAGAGAGACCCGGATTGGAGGATAATGGCAATGCTTCTCCATTAATGGGGGTGTGCTTTCATTAAGGGGAGCATCCTCTGCTTTTCATTTGATTTGTAATGAATCAAGATTGCAATCCTGCACATTGTTGCAGCCACTGGAGATCTCCATTAGCTAATGCACCGCCGCAGGCTAATGGAAAACATGGAGCTTTCGGCCGTTCACTCATCATCTTCCTCTGAGCAACATGTTCGATAAGACAAAGGAGAATCCCGATGTTAGGGCTGTTAATATTGATTTATTCTCTTTCCATTGTTGATCAATCTGCTGATTATTATTGACTGGTTTGGTCTAGTGAACATATAAAAAGCCTTTCACAAATTAACATATTCATATTGCATGTTCTGCCAGGATATGAAGTATTTTTACATTAATAGACAGGATTCAATGTAGCCTACTTTCAATAGTCATGCACCAAGCAAGCCTACAAATAGTGGTGTTTTGAGCTTAATGCTATGCTAATTAATTATAATTACAAAGCTAACATGTTTAGCACCATCTTAGTTTAGTCCATTAGCGTTCTAACATTTGCTAATTTGCACTCAACGTTAATTTTATGTGTAAGATGCGTATTTCTCGGTTTTAGTATTTGAACAATGAACAACCTTTTAGAAGTTTAATATGTTGACCTTTTAATTACAGTGTCTTCTTAGTCTTTATCTTTAAACCAGCAAACCAAAGTGATAAAATGCATTAATTCTCCCAAGGCTTCGTCAAAATGTCAAACAATTTGACATTTAAATCTTAATGGCCTCATTAACCTGGTGTGTTCAAATAAATCATTTGACATTTTGGGAAATACCCTTATTCTCTTTCTTGCCAAGAGATTGATAGCAATTACGTTGCTACTGTCAGCGGACGGTTAGCTTAGCATAAAGTCTAAGCAGAGAGAAATGGCTACCCTAGCTGCCTGAACTCAAATGTTTTACTTGAGGAATACTGCATCTGTCAAACTAAATGTTGTAATAATATATAACATGCTGAAAGTTAAGCTTTAGAGGTGCTGCTAGAATTTTTTAACCTTCAGTCAGATCCAGGCTAGCTATTTCCGCATTTTCAATCTCTATGCTAAGCTAACCTAAGCTAACAGTCAGCTGGCTCTAGCCTTATACGAACTGGCCAAATATACGAGTATTGTCTATCTTCTTCTATAATTCTTAGCAAGAAAAGTAATACGAGTATTTCCCACAATGTTGAACTGTTGCTCTGGGTGTTAAGAGCAACAATGCATCTTTCCTCGAGCTTAAAAATCAGAAGACCCTGTAGTACAGACGCTGTATTCCTCGAGCAGAAGAGTCAAGAAACTTATTTTAGAGCATTAATTAGCTTTAAAGCTACATTCACAGCTCTGACAGTTGCATAATGTAAGTAGCTGGGGATCACCAATGCTAATTATTATCTTTATTTTCATAGTCTCAGCATTTCAATCTCCCTAATGGTGTATTAAAATCACATGAAGGAAATCCCTTCTCCTGCTGTTACCTGCCCCTCATCACGGTGCTTCAGGATTACATAGCAAGGTTAGGAAGTGCCTTTTGTCTCAGTTTCAATGTGAATATATATACTCCACTCCCTTGTATTCAACTATTGTACAAGATGTTGAATTATAACTGGGTTGAATGCTTCCTCTTGAGCCCAGTGACCTTGTTTTACTGTAATTGCCGCTGCTCTCCGCCTGCGAGGGAGAATAACAAGTGTTATTTTTTTAATCTGTATTTCTCTCCTTCGGCAACATGTAGGCACAAAGCTCAGACTGTGATATTAGATGTGCTACTTTCCCGTTGAGAGATTTGAGTTTTCTGCCTCTAAGCTGGCTTAATGAAGCAAGATCGTACAGGAGAAATAATGTGTGCGTGGGGGGAGAATAGGAGAGAGGAGTGGGATAAAAAGATTGAAAAATCAGATTGAGACAGAAAGATGTGAGTGAAGAAGAGGAGGGAGGAACTTCGAACATCCTGCCTGCAGCTCGGAAACCCTCAATGTCGGGGAATCGGGGTCGTAGTCCGTGTTAAATTAGCAAATTCACATTTAATGAAAGAACGCTTAATCTGGATTGGTTTTATTAATAGAATATTCCCCCGGGGCCAAGTGGAGACGGAGGGGCAAAACACTTTCAAGTGGAATAATTAAGACCCTTCTCACTTCCTCTTGTTAATTAAGAGGATCATGCAGGCTCTGGATATGATGCTGCAGCTGAACAAACAGAAACAGGCAGCAGCAGCAGCAGCAGCAGCAGTCACTCTACAGCACGAGGAGGATGAATCTTCTCACGATTTTCCATTCCTGGTTGTGAATTCTTCTGCTATTACATTGGAATTTCCTCCAGTTTTCTCTCATCTGCAGGGCGCTGTGAGTGATGCAAGCTGTGTAGAAAATGAGAGTTAAAGTGTGCCGTGTTTTCTCCATCGTGTGTTTCAGTTCCTGAGGATCTGTCCCCGGAGGAGAGGGATGAGCTGTCAAACATCCGGCGCAGGAAGAGAGAGCTGCTCGATGATATTGAGGTGTGTGTTTGTGCACGTATGAGCACTATATATACAGGTTGCATTTCAGCTTCGGTTCATTAGTAGTGCACTACTTTGGTTATTGTTAGTTAGTTATTTATTCACTTTGATGGCTCTCTACTGCTGCACTGAAGAAGTATTTGCATGCTCTATCTACTGTATGTAATGCAAATGAACTTGCAGTACATCATTGCACTCTCAATTTGATTACAGAAAGTAATGCACTCCCCTCTACTAACTGTACAGTGCATTTTCTGTCCTGTTCATGCCTTAATGCTTTTGTCTCTGTATTTTATCCTGTTTTTATTTAAATACTGTCTCGCTCTTTTCTCTCAGAGGTTGAAGTTTGAGATAGCAGAAGTCATGACGGAGATCGAGCAGCTGACGTGTGTCGGAGAAAGGTGAGTAACTCAATGTGCATATGGGGGTCAAATCTCTAAAATATCGCTATAAAGAAGCAGGTATTTTCAAGCACATAGTGGCTATATGTATACTGAAGTTATTGAGAAAGAAAACTGAACATCATAAGTGTAGTAGAAGAAGAATTCAGGCAGCAAAGATGTTGCCTCATCTACCTGTTTTTATGTATAGATTTGTATTTAACATTTAACATTTATACTCTTGTGTTCCAGTAAAACAACCCAGAGAAACAAACAGATTGCCATGGGCAGGAAGAAATTCAACATGGATCCAAAGAAGGTAATGCCTCATGTTTTCATCATCCTCCGAAGTCTCTGTAGCCTTGAAAAGGAATTTTGTTCTTATAGTCTGAAGAGAGATCCATTTTCCATCGCCCGTCCTCAGTCGAGATGAACAGCCTTCCTGTTTTTTCTCTCCAGGGAATCCAGTTCCTGCTGGAGAACGACCTCCTCCAGCACACCCCCGAAGAAGTCTCCCAGTTCCTCTACAAAGGAGAAGGCCTCAACAAGACGGTCATCGGAGACTACCTGGGCGAGCGGTGAGACAGAACATTAATCAGGCGGCAGGAGAACGTCCTCCTCACATGAGGGTTATTCACCCTTTGTGGTTAGCGAAGGAAAGGATTACATTTGATGTTGTGAACACACACGCTTTTTAACATAAATCTGATGTATTTAACAGCAGGACCTGTTTTGTAAGGATCCCTCAAAGTTAGTTTTTACTGCAGATCCTACAGAATAAGATCTGGGTAGTTAGAGTATTGATATCTGCTCTGCCTGTATAAGATATTCAGCAGAAAAAAGCGTCACAGGCTTGTCGAACTCTTTGATTGACAGATGATCTTTGAGAAGTGTAGAGAGAAAATGGCAGCGAGCAATTAACACCCAAAATGTCACAGAACAAAAAAATTATAATTTAAACATTTCCAAGGCAGGCCATTTCATTGTTTTATATTTTTGAGTAAAATATAATATATTTGACTTAGTTATACCAAATGTTACAGTCTTTTTATAAAGGTCTTAGTGAGAAAGGAGATGGATTAACAATATACATAATTATTTTTGTAATTAATTATGAATTATATATATTAATAGAAACATTGAGAAAAACTATTTTTAGGACACAAAATGTAATTGAAGTTTTTCTCTAAGCAGGTTTTCCCATACAAGCTATTTTCTATGGTCAATAATAGTGCAATATACCTAAATACAGTTATAGAAATTAAGATTTCAAGTTAGATCAAATGTAAAAAATATATATAAACTATTGTAAAACCCCCAAAAATAAAAACCAACATTTAAAACATACAAAAAAGCAATAAAAAGATTAAATAAATATGTGCAGTTTATCCGAATTTAACAGTGAAAGAGCTGTGAAGTATTTAAATAATTTTATGAAGAGGATCCTGTTTAAAGCAGCCCAGTCTGAAGTCTTCCTATGCAGGAAATCACATCAACTACAGTCTTAATTATCTTACATTAGCACAGAAACAAAGCACAATGTGAGTCAGTCGTCGGGGGCTCTGGGGACTCTTCATGTTGGTGGTGGGCTTTACTCATGGGGGATCATCAAAGAGCCCACCTACCCTGTGGAAATCACACTAAACACAGGCGGAGGGTTTACACGCAGTAATTATCACTAATTGAGCTTATGCAGGGAGCAGAACCTATCATTACATGCTGAGCAGAGAGGGAGAGAGGGGGCGGGGGGAAGTGGGGGGAGATAGGGGAGATGCAGGATAAGCAGGTGATTGGCTCCCAAATGACGCCACTAGATCTTATCATTACATGTCACTTGTTAGACGCTTTTATACTTACATACTCAATACTGTGGACAATCCCCACAGGAGCAATTTGGGGTGAAGTGTCTCAGGGACACAACGACATGCTGACTGCAGTGGGGTTTGAACCTGTGACCCCCTGATCCGAACACCAACGCACAACCCACTGCACCACACGCCTCCATCTTATTATTCCTTAAACTGAGACACGAATAAATGCAATTTTATTTTTGCAAATGACAAACCACATGTACCTATATAAATAAACCTATATGCAAGCCTCATCGGACAGGATTCCTTTTATCTGGCTGCAGATGACAGTGTAGGGTAGAAGAAATCCCCCGAGTCATCGTCCAAGTAATCCAAGTCTGTTATTGCGAAACATGTTTTTGTTTTGTTTCTCGTAAACCAACGCTGTTTTTGATGTCGCTCCACAAAAAGTCTAAAAATGTCCTGGCTTCATTTGTACAATAAACAACAGAAAGAGGATGCAGGCTCAGGATTATGGCCCCTCATGTACAACAAACACGATCAGAGAAGCTGTGACCGCAGCCCAAGAGCAGCTGTGGAATGAAAAAAAACCTCCAAAAGCCAAACAAACCTCTGACAAAAAGAAGCCTGTGTGGGTTTTGGGTTTTAGCTGTTTTTCATCAGTCAAACGCACCGTTTCCTCGCCTCAGGGGGGAGAAATACTCAGCATTAGCCAGCTGTTTAAATTGCTTCCAGACTCCACGCTCAGCGCCCGGTATGAATAAAAGTACAAACATGACAGGAATGCTGAGAAACGGGAATCCAGGTTGAGAAATGCTTTCATGGAGGAAATCTGATTTTCCTCACCCTTTCCTCTGGGCTCGCTTATTGTCTAGAGTTATGTTGCATCTTCTCTGGAGGATATTTGAAAGAATGGCTATTGGAAATCTGATTTTATCATCTGTATTTTCTCATAACAGGGAGGACTTCAACCTCAAGGTGCTGTCGGCTTTTGTGGAGCTGCATGAGTTCGCAGACCTCAATCTGGTCCAAGCACTAAGGTCAGCACAACTCTAAAAACTAAGAAAAGTTGTATGCACCCTGTAGCATCACAAATAAAATTCCCGTTCTCTCCTCCATTTGTAGGCAGTTTCTGTGGAGTTTCCGTCTGCCAGGTGAAGCCCAGAAGATCGACCGTATGATGGAGTCGTTTGCGTCGCGGTACTGCCAGTGCAACCCGGGGGTCTTCCAGTCCACAGGTCAGAGTCAGAGTCTGTTGAGTAGTTCATTGTTCACCAAACCTTTCATGTGAGACGATTCCCCCAAAGGCCCTTTGGATCAGCTCCAGAGCCCCCTTCACTAACATCAACTGTCTTTTCAATTGATCTTAAACAGGATGTTGTTACACTTTAATTATATACATATGCATATCATATTTATTGGAGGAAGTCAGTCTTGAGTCGGCTTTTCACTTTTGCATTTGTAATATGACTTATTTTTTCTTTTTTTTTAACCAACTGTTTATTTTACTATTTTAAGCATTTATTATATCACCTTTTTGCTAACTTTTTTTTTTACTTTGTTGTGTTTTCCAATCCATTAACATTTTTTATTTAGCTTACTATTTTTAGGGCTGTACCCGAATATCCGAATATTCGGTCGTTGGCCCACTATTCGGTTTTCAATTTCGTTATTCGGATATTCTTTTTTTTTTGTGGCAGTCGCAGTTAAAATCTCCAATATCAACGTAAGAGCTTGTGCCTCTTCGGGGGGTGCTAACACTTAACCATAAACTTTATCGTTTACTTTCTCCGTCTTTATATGTAGATATTACTTTTCTCCGTTAATCTCCGCTCCTTTTGACCGTCACATTGTTTCCATCGCAACAACAACTTCCTGTCAACAGCGCTAACTCCTTCAAAATAAAAGCATGTCCATACAAAATAGGAAGCCAAGCCAAATTACACTTAAGACATATACAACTGCAACGAAAGTAACACAATAATACTTTTCAATCTCCAAGAACATACATTGGGTTATTTACATTAACAAATAACTATAAAACAATACTGTAAAATAACAAAATGAATGCCTTGAATAAACCGAAATACACGTGTTGATGCGCCCCACCCCCTGCGGGCGAGCGTCGAATATCCGAATAGTCGCTGCTGATTACTACCGAATATCCGGAGCCCGAAAAATGGTATACGGGACAGCCCTACTATTTATTAATCTTAGCTAACTATTTCAACTATTTAATCTCTTACTCTCTGTTTAGACTTCTCTGCTTTCTTGCGACCTAGTTCTATTAACTCTTAATCCCAACAGTGTTGATGTTACAGTTGCATTTATTCTTTTTAAATCAAATTGAAAGCAGTTTAAAACAAGTTGGATTTAGTTAATTTTCTATGTTGTTGCAAAAGTTGCCCCTGGGAAACAAAAGAGCAGAGTGTGAACTCCAATATGGTGGACAATGTCAATGCACTGAACATCAGTTTACCCTAATGTGCCAACAGAAGCATTGCCTGAGGGCCCAGGATACATTGAGCATTAGCCTATTTTTTAAATGCATTTGATTCATTAAGCCATGAGAGTTACTGTAACTAGAGCTCAATGAGGATCAACCAGATTACAGTAACTTCAGATCACAGGATCATTGCAGCAGAAGAGTAAACAAGCAGCAACAAACAAGAGACATCCATTATTCATAGCGGCTCAATGTGGCTGAGTGATACGCGTTCTTGTGATAAACAAAGAGTACAACTACAACAGGCTGTAAATAATGAAAGAAGTTAGGATTGTTGAGGGTGCACGTCGTCCCGTGGAGGGAAGACGGCCAGATTAGTTAATTCCATGCTCAAAGTAAAAACAAATCAAATGCTTTTCAAATCAAATATAATATTGTACAAAGCTTTTTAGAGATATGTGATGTTCTCCAGAGAATAAATAGTATATATATATGTGACCCGCTCTATCGAAATCAGTCGGAAGTCGCAACGGCTCATTTCAAAATAAACTTGGATTTGCGTAAAAAAGATTTTAAATAATCAAAGTCTTGGCTTTCAGAATATGAAGCTTTTATTTCCAAAATCACACGATAAATACATGTTTGAAGCTTGTAAAGGGAAGATGACGCCTCTCACTCGCCACTCTGCTGTTCCACAGCGCCGCCCCCCCTCCCTCCGCTGACATGAAAGTAACGAAGTGAATGAAAGGCGTATAGTAATCCTAGATAACACGGCAGGGTCCGTTACAGTTTGTTTTCATCTGATTTCAATTAAACAAAGTCTTGGCTTTCAGAATATTAAACTTGTTTCGGCAAATTCAGATGATAAATACAACTTTGAAGCTTGTAACGGCATAATTAATAGCAGAGAGCGGAGTAACTTGACGTCACAGCAGGCATAACAACCGATAACAACACAAATACACACAAACCCAAAAATACACAAACACACACACACACACACACACTCACACTACTTTGATCATTTGCTCCGCTAATAATCAATCAGATCGATGGATTCCAGAGAAGAGGGAACTTTGAAGGCCTTTTTCTCAAAATGATGAGTCAGTGACAGTCATTATATAATGTGACATATTT